ATAGAAAGGACTAAAAACCAGCTCTGTATTTGGGGGTGCTTTTGACACTTTGTGACATGAATATTGAAGGCCTTTTTTTCCCCCAGATGCTCAGATATTTTGCCAAAATGTGCTAAAAAAATCACTTAGAGAATATGAGCTAGCTCAGAGATTAATAAAATCTCCAACTTCACAGACTTCCACAAATAATGAGATGAAAACAACAGATAATTTTCAGCCATCAAATATTTCAATACTTCACTCTGTTACTATGACATATTTATCCCATACGAAATATTTGCAAAAGGAGTTGTAATGGCCTTCAGGGACAGGAAGAATAGAGTTTCTGTAGAAAATGTTAAATTAGTTTTGATGGTGATGCAAAGTTAAGGAAGGGTTGTTAGGGATGGCTTGCTGCCACAGGGCGGGGTTTTGTTTTGGTGTCCTTTTAGAGCCTGCAGGTGTTTGGCACCAGTTAAAATCGGGGCCAGCTGTGATATTTCAATAATTTTGATATTTCCCTCCCAATGGTTCTCAGAAGTGATGCTTCAGAGTGATGTTTTACACCTGATATATTCAACTTGTGTGGTACAAATGGGAAGACTGTTAAACAACACCAGTTTTAGGATACCTTTTGCCCTTCTTCCCTACTCTCAAGTCATGGCATCAAGGAAAAAAAAACACTAATCAGAAGTTCCAATAATTCATAATTCATATTTTTTAACTTAGCAGTTCAACCAAAGAAGATGATACATGAGAATAACTAAATATACAATCTTAAGCAAAATTCTGAAAGCAGGATGGTGTGTTCTCTTTTGATGTTCATTGTAGATAATGATGCTTTTAAGCCCTTTCAATGGTGACATCCATACCTATTTTTGCAGGAATTTGAATAGTTTCTATTAAAAGCTGCATTTTCTTTTAAGTTTGTTTGGGTTGGAAACCCTCAAACCACAATGTATTTCATGCACATGTTCCCAAGGGTATGTTAAATAGGACCATACTGAGGTCATCTAGTAAGTTTTTGAAACTTTTTAAGAATTCCTTTAATGTACTGCACAATCTTGGCCTGATTAGAAGAAGATATTTTAAGAAAGTACTTGAAAAAATGACTGGCTATTAAAATCTATATGCAGATAACCTATATTATGCGCTATAATGCACAGAGTTTTCCATAGATAATTTGTCATTGAGGGAGAAAAACAATAAAACTACCACTTTAAGAATTTTTAGTCAAAACTTGTCAGAAATATCAGTAAATGCAGACAAATGCCCCCATAGTAGTTTTGATTGACTTAACCATGGACAACCATAACATCATTTTTACTGTGCAAAGGTCTACAGCACTTTATCATAAGATAAAAGGTAGACAATCTTCCAACTATCCAAGATAAAACATATCATCTCCCATTTCAGTTGAGTAAAAAAATGAAATCTTCTTGGAATATGAACTATGATGAATTTGTTAGGTTAGATATAGTTTCTACCATCAAGTACATTTTTGTTGTCAACCAAGATTTTCAAGCCACAGATGAGAAACATACATGGTCCATTGAATAAGAAGCATACAAAATTCTCTTCTATTCCTTGAGGTTCCCAATCTTTTCCTTTTTTTTTTTTACTTTCCCTGGTTGGACATACCCCTTTTCACTTCATCAAAGCTTTCCTTCCTGCGCCATGTTCCAAGCCTTGTACTTCACCCAAAGTAATTTTCAGTCAAATGAGCAGCTGTGCTGGCACAGCACACACGGAGAGGTGGGCCACTAAGCCAGTGGTGCATTCCCACATTGAACACAAGTGGCTAGTTCCCTGTACCTAGGGCCAAGAAACTGCTGCTCATCAGAGTGAAAGCGCCCTTGGACACCTCAAACGGAAATCAAACTTAAAAAAAAAAAAAAAAAAACACTTTCATGGAAAATGAAAAATAAGAGGGTTGTCAGCAATCAGAAATAATGAAGGGTTGGGAACTCTTGGCATATCATTTGCAGATACTTTTTCATAAAAGGGTAGTAGATTGCGATTCTAAGTTAATGATCCCCATACTTGTGGCAGCACTGAATGTACCACTGTTCACTAAAACAGGTATTTTAAAAGAAGGTGTTTTAATAAGAATATAATCATCAAGGGCACCATTACAATGAGAGCCACTACCATGCATTGAGCATTTAGCATTTGTCAATCCCTGTACTATTCCCTTAATTAACACCTCATTTAACACTTTCAACATTGGAGAGATAAGATCCTATTATACCATATAACAGTTAAGAAAACTAAAGCCTGCAAAGTTATAAAACTGTCCACCAAATTTGAAAATATGATGTTAACCATCATCTTAACCCAAACCCTAACAACCATCAGTCCCCTGAAATCATCAAGAGCAATTCAACTAGTGCTAAAGATAATGCTCATTAGTGCTAGGGTACAGGAACCATCTGATCATTTGGAAAACCTACACTTTCTTTTTTTTTTTTTAAGAGAGAGAGAGAGAGAATTTTTTAATGTTTATTTTTTAGTCTTTGGTGGACACTACATCTTTATTTTATTTTTATGTGGTGCTGAGGATCAAACCCAGCGCCCCGAGCATGCCAGGCAGGCGAGCATGCTACCGCTTGAGGCACATCCCCAGCCCTGGAAAACCTAGACTTTCCACAATTAACAACTTATTCATTTGTTTATTTACATATACATGAACATTTATTGTATGCATGCTATTGAAGTAAATTTTGAGTTTATTTTTCAGAAAGGCATAGAATACTAAATTCATACTAAATCCTTACTAATTCACCTAATAAATATAATAAAAGTTTATTGAATAAATGAAAGAATTTTCTAAATTGTCATTCATAGATGTCACTTTAAGGTGCTTTTGAATAATATACTTCATTCAAGGTTTTTTTGATTTTTCCACATTACACAATGCAAAATATTATAGAAGTCTTTTTGAAAAGGGACAAACAGTTCTAAGCATAAGGGAAAGGTGATAACCCTGATTCTCGTGCAAAACATAACTAGAATACTTACAATTTCCATAGTAATCTTGGCTTATTTTTAAAATGTAATATTAGTACATTATTCTCTAGTCTTTCTAAAAATCCGATAAATTACAGACATATATTTTTTTACTTAAAATTACAAATGAAGAGTGAAATTATGTATGAAAGAGAACCCTTGCTACTGGGTTTCAATTATCAATAAACATCATGGTATGGTTAAGTATTTTTACTTTAGAACTGTAATAATTAGGATCCACTTTTTGATGGGGGTAAGAGGTCAGTTTAGAAATTTTGAGGGTAACATGGAAATCTGGTATCTTGATTTACATAATATCAATCTTCTCCATTTGGTAAGTAGGCTAAGTACTAAAAATATGACACCATGACATAGACCAAAAATAGATACTTTGCAGGTCCAAAGCAGTTGAGATACAAAGACAACAAATTAATTAAATTTCCCTTGTATTAATTAAGCTGAATTAAAAGGGGAAATCAGATATAAAAATTCTATTTAGCCTATATCCACTCTGAACCAGCCCATAATTATGTGAACAATTTAAAACTAATAAGACTTTGTATCTTTGTATATCATAACCTTAACAAACCCAGAAAATTAAGAATATACCTACTGATATTTAAGAATAACTCTTTGATTTTCTTTGTTTATCCCTGATAAAACACAGATGAAACAACAGAAATGCTGATGGGAAAACTTTCAGGAAATATCTCTTGTGAAATATGACCTCAAATTGAGACAAATACAAAGTCCTACACACCTCTAAAATACCACAGCTTAAAATGAGATGGCTGATTCTCAGTTTTGAATTAAAGAAACCAGGTACTTGGCCTATATTCAGGTGTGGAGACCAAGGAATCACCAGACATTAATCCACTGAATTTTGGGGTTCCTTTCAGATGAATTTACACAGTATATACCAAGTGGGCCTCTTATTTCCAATACATATTGACCATTGTTTTATTGTGAATAAAACTCTTCACTGGGGCAAAAAAAAGATAGCATTTCTGAATTCTCTAGCCTTTCTTCTCCAGTAAATATTGTAATTACTGAATTAAATACACTCTAATTTCCTTTTAAGCAAACATTTATGCAAGAAAAATGTACCAATGTTAAAGAGATCAGTTTCCCAACAAAGATCTTCTTCCTCAGAAAATGGATATTTCATTTTCAGTAATTCATTTCAAACAAAAACCTGCTACTATATGAAGTACCAACAGAAAAAAATTCCTACGATTTTGAAATGTTGGAAACTGTCAAGATATGTGAAGCATCATAATAAAATATTCACAGAAAAATGGAGGTCCTCTACATTTTAGGGTTAATATGTGAATTTGAGACATGGTACATTGCTTATCGTTCTATTGGTCAAGTAGCAATAAGCATAAGGGAAAGGTGATACCCTGATTCACCTTTAGATATTTTTGACATATAAAAATAATCCACTTGAACAATGTTATAAAAAATATTTTTGGGTGGTGACCCTTCTTCCTGTGCCCCAAGAAGAACCTATTAAGCAATATATAGAACAAAACTTAAAGTATAATTCTTGCCCCACAAAAAAAGACACATTAATCAAAACATATGAAAGCTTCTAATTTGCAAAACTAAATATGACTTGTTTTGTATATTTTAAGACAGCTATGTGGTGATTAGAAGTAGGCTATAACTGTAAAATTTCTCATATTTCTTTCTACAAAAAAAAATCTCTGAAATCCTGATTCCAACTTTTCAATTGTCTATATTTCTAATTTTCAGAAAAAAATAAAAGCTTTCACCTTGAGAATTTTATGGAGCGGCTGATAATGAAATATGTTAGACCCAATAGACACAAGTATGACTGTAGACAGCCAGTTCTACAATCATACTTTTTATTTTTATTTTATCCCAAACCCACAAACAATTTGAACATAACAGTAAAACATCATATTATGTGACTTAAGATCAATGACTACCTTTTGATATCAATCTGGATAGGAAAGAGAAGCAACCAAAGACTTCAAAAAACAAACCTGAGGTTCTGTAAATACACCCTTCATATTGTTGATTGGGCCATATGGGACCCCGCTGCCTTCAAAGAAATATAACCACTTAGTGGTCATTTCTTCTTCAAACCTAGGAACAAAGAAAAGATGCATTTTTTTTTTTTTACAATCTACAGAATGCAACACAACTTCTTTCCTCATATGGCTCTCTTTCACAGTAACCGATAGTGACAAGTATGTGTTGCTTAGGCTTTCTTTAAGCCAAGTTTTGAGAGAAAATTGTCTATATGAAATGACTTGAGTGGCCACCCAGGTCCCAGGGTTTAAAAATACTCCATTATATACGTAATTTCTCTTAATTTTATCCCTGTGTATTTTCTGACAGAGTCCATTGGAAAAGAAAGATTGTAAGGAAGACAGTATTGAGTTCCAAATGTGGTGTTGAGAGAATGGCAGCTATTATGAAGACAAGCAAAAATAAGTGTTGGTGAGGATGTGGAGAAAAAGGTATACTCATACATTGCTGGTGGGACTGCTCTTTTTTTTTTTTAGGTCTCATGTATAGTATACCAGGGTAGAGAGATATTGATAAACAAAAGTATGCTTTAAAACAAAAAATAAACAAGTATAGGTATTTTAAAAGAAAGCTATGTTTAAGGTACACAAGAATTAAAAGTCATAATCATTGGCCTAAAAATAGTCTTAACTGTTGGTTTATTTGAACTGTGACTTATGAATTAAAACTACAGACATGCAAAGATTTGTGTTTCAGGTAAAGCCAACAAAACTCAAATTCATCCACATTCTTTATCTCTTTTTAAATTCTATAATTTAAAAATGAACCTCACAGACAGGAAAATACATATATATTTCTTCATTTTCTCTATTAGGTCTTAAGAAAAGGGGAGCTAATCTATTAATGAGATTTAGTGGTTTGTTTTTTTTTTTACCTCTTCTCTGTTAGGGCCATAAACACAGAAGGAAAATCTTGGATCCTTAGGGACAACAAAACACAATCATAATTTCTAATGTATAAGGAATTTCAGAATTGCTCATTGTTAAAATATCAAATCACTTATATGTAATTAATAAACTTGGCAACTAAAGAAATTTTTTAAAATACTAGATAAAGTGGATTATTGCCAACAAGTAAAATACTTCCCCAAAATGAAAAGACCAGCAGAACTATGGCTAAAATATTTCATATGCATGGAATTCTGTTTCTCTTGTACATAGCCAGGATTGGCCTCAGATTGGCAGACTCCACAGGTAATTAGAAAAAGATACCTTTTTCATCTTTTAAAAAAATGTGCAAAAACAGTATCAGTACTTGGAGGACACTTCTGTGATCGCCATTACTGTTAGATAAATAATAGATAATTTTTTAAAAAAAAAACCAAGAACTAAAAGGAAAAATAAAATTAATGTATTCTCTAAGACTACTCTATGCACAAAGATGTTTGATCAACAATTTTTACAAAAGAACATAACAAAAAGTTTTTAATGAAGATAGTATTATATTTCACTAGGAATTAATTCATCTTATCCACATATTTAGATAATGAGTAACTTCTGTATACACCAAGCATTGATTCTTGCCTTTTTGTACAATGCCTTCCCTTTTCTCTACAATCACAATGACTAAAGAATTTTCATTATGTTTTAATTTCAGCCCAATAATGTTAACTCTTTGGTATACAATGAAATACTTCATTTCTAAATATTTTTAAAAATAATTTCATAGGAACATCATGGCTCAGGTTAAGTGTCTTATTTCTAATCAATTCTTCACATTAGTATTTCTTTCAAGAATTGTTAAAATAATCTCCTGGCCAAGAATTCGTAAAATATATAGAGAGATATATCATCAGAATGATATATGCTGAAAGAATAAAAGAGATAATTTAAACCTGGAGTCTTTTCAATCAGGGTGTCATTTTTTTTTCATAAATGGAGTGTTATAATGGTTAGTCTGATAAATTTTCAAGACAAGTAAATTAATCACCACTGGACTTACCCAAGTGGCCTGAAAGATCTGCAGAGAAAATGCATGTCAATATCCAAACAGACCCATGGCTGCAGGCTAGCCAAAAGAAAACTCCAGGGAATAGTTGAAGTTCTAGTATTTATATAAGCTTTTCACCACTGGGCAAAAGAGAGGGATTTATTTCATGTTATGGAAAACAACGGATGCACTTTGGAAATGAGACTGAGGGAAGAGGCAGTGTCTGAATCTGCAGTTGTGACCACTGTTTGCATCTCTGTATGGGTGTGGGTGTGGAAAGGTTCTTTAATGCCATAAACTCAATCAATCAGAGACAGAACATGCTGCATTCCGCTGTTCCCACAGGACAGATCCATCATTTTCTTCTGAAAATCTATCTCTGATCTAAATATGATGTGGAATCATTTCCTTTATCTATGCAAAAAAAGCTGTAAGCACATGTTTTTATTAACCACAAAAATTCTGCCGGGGGTTTGAGGAGAGATGATCCAAACCACTCAAAGCAATAGACTCCTGCAGATAAAGACAGAAAGGGTGTCCTTACATTCAGCTCAACAAGCCTCAAAGGAAGGGCCTCTTTCAGGAAGTTATGTGGAGCTTCATAATCCAGACTTAATTGTGAACTTATTAAATCAACCCACATATACAATTCTCAAATTTTGTTGAATTTGCTTAATGCCAGGAATGGGTATTATTAACCAGACAGAATCATTTAGGTATAAGAAGTACTGCTGAATAAAGATACACTGGAGTTTATACTTCCTAATTTCATAATTTAATTTTTTATTAGAGAATTATAGTTATATATTGTAATTGGATTCATCCCAACAAACTCATAAATGCATGGAAATCAATTCCAGTTCATGATCTCCCATTTTCCCTCTTGTCTTCCCTTCCCTCTCCCATTCTCCTTCCTTGACTCTACTAGACTTCCTTTTACTAGTCTTTAATTTGTATTTGATTGGTTCCTTATATTATCCTATCCTTCCCTCCCCCTTCCCTTTATTTTACTCTAGCTTCAGCATATGACAGAAAACAGAGAATTTAACTTTAAAAAACAAACAAACCATCTCTTTAGAAAATGGATTAAGTATCAAAGAAGTCAAATCCAAGAACAAAGAGAAACTACTAGTAAGAAAATGTTATCCTCTTTTGACCAATAGGAAACTCAGGTTCAGAAAAATTAACTTGCTCAAATTCATAGAGATTTTTAAGGTCAGAGGTTGCATCTGAAGTGGAAACTGTTGAACTCCAAAGTCACTTTCTAGTACAAAATGATTGTAGCAGAATACATGAAGATGTATAGCTTCACACATCACACGCATTATAAATGATCACAGATTTTTTTAAAAAGGGATAGCATAGGTGAAAACTTTCCTTTTTTCCACTAATTTCCATCTTTATTTGCATCTTATATAGCTCAATATATATTCCTTTACATTAATATTTACTCAATCCTTACGATTTTAGTAGGAATTTGTTTTGTGTCAGCTGTGAAGATCAAAACAATAAAAAGGTAGTTCCTGTGTTCAGAGATTATATAGTCTAATGGAGAACACAGCTATGGAAATGGATGAATTACAATTCAGGATGCTAAGACAAAGATATGAAAGAACAACTTACAGTTGAAGCATCAAAGAGGGAGACCTGCACTGGGCCTGGGAAGGCAGGAAAAAGTCCAATAACAAGGTAACATTTGAGCCAAGTGTTGAAGGACAAGCTAGAATTTTTCATGTGAAAGATGGGAGGGAGGATTTCCAGGGAGAGAGAGCAATGTGTACGAAGATCCAACCTGGAAAGAATCTGAAATCTCCTGTGTCATGAGTGGGAGAAGATGAAATAAGAGAGGAAGGTTAGAATCAGAGTGTAAAGCATCTTGTCTCCTATGCTAGGGATATTGAATTTCCACTGACAGTGAAGTCTTTAAGCAGGAGACTGACATACTAGGCACTGATACAGAGAACAGACCTATGCCAATGAAACTAGAGACAAGGAAACTTCACAGTAAACAATATATGCATTTCAAATTTATCAATTCTTCCATATTATTGTCAGTAATAAATAAATTTCACTTGAAAAAGTTTTTTGTTTGTTTGTTTGTTTATTTATCTGACCCTCTGAAATCTGGCTTGGTGGTCAATGCTCTTTTTTTATCCAGTCTTCAGTAGTCTCTAGTGATCACTTGTCAAATCTAATATTCCTTTCTGAGTCTTTGTCCTTCCTTCCTACATACTATTTGATGCTTCTTACTATCCTAACTTTAGGTCTAGTGACACTCACTACACTTAAGTTTTCTTTCATATCTCTTTGATGATTTCTATTTCTTATATTCTTTTGCCAATCCCAAGATTCCTTATTCTATTTTACTCACTGCTATGATTTGGATAAGTATCCCCCAAAAGCCTAGGTGTTGAAAATGTGCTTACCAACCTGTGGCACAACTGGGAGTTGTTAGAACTTTAAAGAGGTGGGGCCCAGTGGGAGAAATTTAGGTCTCGAGGGGTATAGCCTTCCTTGAGAGAGACTCTCTCTCTGATGCTTGGCCATCATGAGCAGCTTCCTTCACCACACTTCTGTCAAGATATACTGCATTCCCATAGGCCCAAAAGCAACAGTGCCAACTGACTATAGATTGGAACCTCTGAAACCATGAGCTGGAATATCCCAGATATTTTGTCATAGTAACGCAAAGCTGAGTAACACACTCAACTAAATTATCCTGAGATCCTTGTGCAGAAAAACCCCAAAATCCATATTTTAGCCTTGGCCTTTTTTTCCCCAATTCCCTTTTTTTAGTACATAGGGTAATTCCACCCCGATGCACTATTACCACCAGTAATACACCATGGCCCTGATGACTTTATAATTTCCATTTCATCACAAACCTAGAATTCGTCCCTTGCCTAAACTCTTATCTTTGACTTTATTTGGAACTCCTTCCTTCCCATCATTTCTTATGACATATATAATCATCCTGTGGGATCAACTTTTCAATGGTTAAGCAGTATTCCTCCATTCCAATAGTAACTATCACGCTTATGGACTTTGGTGCTTCACACTTAGATAGAGGTAAGAACTAGTTTAAAACTTATTGTCTCCAATCTCCCTCCTTCAAATAAGTCACC